AATGAGAGAATGAGAATGATAAAATACCAGATTATATGACTAAAATAGAACACTTCAGGGAAGACGAGAACGGCCGAGCGAGCACGCAAAGAGTCAAAAGGAACGAAAAAAATATAATCAATCGCGAGTCGGAGATGGAAGGGTGAAATAAATTGGGAATTGGGATCGTAAATAGAGGAAGAGGGTTTAGGGGGTGAGGGTTTTCTGTTCTTATTTTGAAATTAGGGTCCCAATTATTTGGCTAAGGAGTGAACATGTTGCGAAGTACTTTTCCCGCGGGAAAATTTCATCTAATTTTACTAAAATGCCATTGCGTAGAAAACAAAAAAAAAATACATTTTTAAAATATAAATTAATAAGTTTTATTTTATTTTTAGTTCTTAAATTTCAAAATAAATTATGTTTGAAATTTTGAAATTTTTTAAAATATGTTTAAATTTCTTGATTCAAAAAATATAGTGTTTGAGTCCATTGGATTAGATTTGAGACCAGTATCAAAATAAATTATTTTATAAATGATTATAAATTAAAATCATATCTTTTATATTAGAATAATTAAAATATTTATTTAAAATACAAAAACTAAAATCACATTTATATTAAATTTTAGGAAACCAAATATAATTAAGTGAGTCCATCATGGCATCGCATGGTATTTTAGAAAATGTGCGTGCTTTGAAGTTGTAACTTGGTAATTTAGTGCCTTGTAATTCTATGATTATAGGTTTTGATGTATTTGCTAATTTTTTATTGGTTTAATGTCTCAAAAGTTCCTTTATTTTTTGGCGTTTCAATTGATCTTTATTTTTGTTAATTTGATGCAAATAAATCTTTCCGTCAATTTCATCAAACGGCGTTAATGATGTGTGACGTGGCCTTACAGTGTCAATACTGTCCTCAGGCACTCCACATTCATTAACGCCGTTTGATAAATGACGGAAGGATTTATTTGTATCAAATTAAAAAAATAAGGACCCAATTGAGACGCCAAAATAAGGGACCTATTTCAAATTCTGAAGAAAATAGGACTATGGACATTAAACCTTTTTATTTTATTATGAATTATTTTTTTTTTCTTATCTTTTTGTTTTTTTTTTCTTGCATGTTTGATGTTGGATGTGTGATGGACTTCGTATGTTGTTAACTTTTCCTTTCTTAAAAAAAATCCACTCAAACCCAGAATTATTGCACTTCATGAATTTGAACTTAAATGGTTTTTATTCAACCAATTAGTTTTGTATTTTATAATTATATAAGACTAAATTTCTTAAATTCCCTCGTAACTATTTTATAATATTATATAAGACTAAATTTCTTCAATCCACAACTTAATAAGTATAATTACTCAAAACCAAATACCTATAACAAATTATTAAAATATGTAAACAAAATTAATAATAATAAAATAAGTCGAGAGTATAACTTTTCTCCACTTGTCCTATTAAGATTGATGATTAAACAATAAAAAAATAAGATATCAATAATTATATAAAGAAAATAGAATTTTATTTTATTTATAAATCTCATCGATTCAAAATACTCATCTACTAAACTATTGTAAAGTGTGATTAGATTAAAAAAATAAAAAATTAATGGGGAATTTAATGAAAATAAAGAGAAAGAATGATTGATGAGGAAAGGAGACAAAAGATGAAAATGAGAGTGAAGTTTTTCACTTTTCCTTCAATCCTCTTTTTAATTACTCTACATTACTAGTCAATTGGTTTTTTTTATCATTAGTAATTTTTCTAGTTATGTAAAATAACACTTTATTAATTTTGATTTACAACTTCGAATTAATCTCAATATTGAAAACATGTACTTTCAAATACAATTTAATCTCCGATGCAACTTTTATAAACATTATCTTCCAATAAAAATAAAAGGTTTAATTGTTTGTTTTGTTCCCAGTTTTGTTTAAGTCTGTCAAGTTCGTCATTCTTTTAAAAAAGTTGCAAGTTCGTCCATACGTGGTTTAAAAGTGTCAATTGCATCCTCACGTAGAAAAAATTGCATCAATAAAGTCCTCTCCGTTAAATATAGACTAACGATGTTAACTGATTGATGATTTGGCAGTAGAGAATTTAAACGATGGCAAAAGAGTGGCAATATTGGTAATGACATGTGAATGAAATGTTGGGTGACATGGCATTAGGTGAAACTTCGTATGAAGATGCTTGATGATACTAGAAAGAGGGCATCTATTGAGGAGATGCGTCAAAGTGATTCTAGCGTGGTCGATGAGGAAGAGGAATATTCTTGCTTTAGGCGTGGTGGATGACAATAGAGGCCATGGCTTGTCTGCGTTGACGTCGCTGATGGAAACCCTTGTCGGCGAAGATGGACGACGCGATTGTACTGGTTGCGGCGCTTGGTGGTTAGGTTCCAACGGAAAGAGCGGCACTGATTGAGAGACCATGCCCAACCGACGGAAGCCTCGAGGATTTCAGGGGCAGCTGGGCCATTACCAATGACATAACGGATGATTCCCTTTCCGGGGAGGATGGTTTTGGTGAAGAGGGAAGAGTCAACGATGTAGCACCGCCAGGGGTGCTGCCGAGAAGGATCCCGGCGGCGATGCGGCAGCGGAGCTTTGTGCTGTGGCCATTTTGATTGCGGAGGCAGTGGTAGATGATTCTGGGATTTGACGGCTTGCAGCGTGAAGGTTATTCTTCAAACCCGTTTCATGGGGAAGAAGACCAGGGTTTGCGGTTAACGACGTGAATGTTTTACCCTCCGACGAGTTCATAGCGCAAGGGTTATGATTTATGATCCTCTCAAAGGGGTGGAGAACTAGCACTGACTATGAAAGTAGGTAATTTAATGGTTGGGAAAATGGTACTCTCCCCTCCCTCCAGGTTGTAGCAAAATTGTTTGCGTGTACATGGAATGAAGAAAAACAAAAAAAAAACCACAACGAGGAGGAGAAAGAGATAGATCATAAATCATAACCCTTGCGCTGTGAACTCGTCAGAGGGTAAAACATTCACGTCGTTAACCGCAAACCGTGGTCTTCTTCCCCATGAAACGGGTTTGAAGAATAACCTTCACGCTGCAAGCCGCCAAATCCCAGAATCATCTACCACTGCCTCCGCAATCAAAATGGCCACAGCACAAAGCTCCGCTACCGCATCGCCGCCGGGATCCTTCTCGGCAGCACCCCTGGCGGTGCTACATCGTTGACTCTTCCCTCTTCACCAAACCATCCTCCCCGGAAAGGAATCATCCGTTATGTCATTGGTAATGGCCCAGCTGCCCCTGAAATCCTCGAGGCTTCCGTCGGTTGGGCATGGTCTCTCAATCAGTGCCGCTCTTTCCGTTGGAACCTAACCACCAAGCGCCGCAACCAGTACAATCGCGTCGTCCATCTTCGCCGACAAGGGTTTCCATCAGCGACGTCCAACGCAGACAAGCCATGGCCTCTTATGTCATCCACCCGCCAAAGCAAGAATATTCCTCTTCCTCATCGACCACGGCTAGAATCACTTTGACGCATCTCCTCAATAGATGCCATCTTTCTAGTATCATCAAGCATCTTCATACGAAGTTTCACCTAATGCCATGTCACCCAACATTTCATTCACATGTCATTACCAATATTGCCATCTTTTGCCATCGTTTAAATTCTCTACTGCCAAATCATCAATCAGTTAACATCGTTAGTCTATATTTAACGGAGAGGACTTTATTGATGCAATTTTTTCTACGTGAGGATGCAATTGACACTTTTAAACCACGTATGGACGAACTTGCAACTTTTTTAAAAGAATGACGAACTTGCAGACTTAACAAAACTGGGAACAAACAAACAATTAAACCTTTATTTTTATTGGAAGATAATGTTATAAAAGTTGTCATCGGAGATTAAATTGTATTTGAAAGTACATGTTTTTCAATATTGAGATTAATTCGAAGTTGTAAATCAAAATTAATAAAGTGTTATTTTACATAACTAGAAAAATTACTAATGATAAAAAAAACCAATTGACTAGTAATGTAGAGTAATTAAAAAGAGGATTGAAGGAAAAGTGAAAAACTTCACTCTCATTTTCATCTTTTGTCTCCTTTCCTCATCAATCATTCTTTCTCTTTATTTTCATTAAATTCCCCATTAATTTTTTATTTTTTTAATCTAATCACACTTTACAATAGTTTAGTAGATGAGTATTTTGAATCGATGAGATTTATAAATAAAATAAAATTCTATTTTCTTTATATAATTATTGATATCTTATTTTTTTATTGTTTAATCATCAATCTTAATAGGACAAGTGGAGAAAAGTTATACTCTCGACTTATTTTATTATTATTAATTTTGTTTACATATTTTAATAATTTGTTATAGGTATTTGGTTTTGAGTAATTATACTTATTAAGTTGTGGATTGAAGAAATTTAGTCTTATATAATATTATAAAATAGTTACGAGGGAATTTAAGAAATTTAGTCTTATGATAATTATAAAATACAAAAACTAATTGGTTGAATAAAAACCATTTAAGTTCAAATTCATGAAGTGCAATAATTCTGGTTGAGTGGATTTTTTTTAAGAAAGGAAAAGTTAACAACATACGAAGTCCACTCAACAACATCCAACATACAAACATGCAAAAAAAAAAAACAAAAAAGATAAGAAAAAAAAAATAATTCATAATAAAATAAAAAAGGTTTAATGTCCGATAGTCCCTATTTTTTCTTCAGAATTTGAAATAGGTGGTCCCTTATTTTGGCGTCTCAATTGGGTCCTTATTTTTTTGTTAATTTGATACAATAAATCCTTTCCGTCATTTCATCAAACGGCGTTAATGAATGTGTGAGTGGCCTGAGGACAGTATTGACACGTGTAAGGCCACGTCACACATTCATTCCGCCGTTTGATGAAATTGACGAAAAGTTTTATTTGCATCAATTAACAAAAATAAAGACCAATTGAAACGCCAAAAAATAAAGGAACTTTTTGAGACATTACCTATCTAATCAAAAACCCCTCCTCTTCCTTCCCTTCCCATCCATTGAACTAAATAGTCCATAAGGTTCTCACCTTAGCATCAAGACAGAGGCCCTCTTCTTTGCATATGTACAATATCCGGCTGCTCATGATTTCTTCTGACAATGGCTTGAACCTGAATTTTGCACACCGTGAAGCAAGTGGTTCTATAATCCTACGAAAAAAATGACAGCCATATATGAGGTTATGTGTTCTATCCTTGGAAAGTACAAGAATAACAAAAGGAAAAGGCCTATCAATATATCACACGAACATGGCATTTGGTACCAAAGAAAATTTTCATACACAGGAACCATGATTCCTGAGAAATATGGACCCTGAGAATTATTATTCACATGAATGATGAGTTTCACTTGATTGGTCAAATATAACACCAGGAATATTTATACAAGTTTCCTATAATTCAAAGAGTAATGTCACTTTTACTAAAATGATTTAATAACAATAACATAAATTAAAAACTTTCCATTTAACTAAAGAAAGTTAGATTTTCTTCTCCCTATAAGAATGTTTGTGGAAAACATGGTAAATATCTATTCCTAGAAAACAGTGTTGCCCAAAAAATTATTTTTTAAAATGTAACCAAATATAGAAAACATACTTTCTCATTGAAAAGGTAACCAGAAAACTATATTTTAAAAAGTAACCAAATATAGAAAACATTATTTTTTTAAAAGCCATACCGTTTTTGAAGCAAGCCATTCCATGGATTATATGGATTAATTACTATTATCAAGGTAACTATAATACTCATTAGCTCCTAAAAGATATTAGAAAAACAAAATAAACAGTACATATTAGCATGGAAGAAAGATACCTGCTCACATAGTTGCATATAAAAAAGAACCTTGTAACTTTAGAGTACGTTTCCATTGTACGCCTCAGGGCATTCTGTACAGCAATTGAAGGTGGTGTGAAACCAAAACACTTTGAGACAAGCAACTTTAGAAATGAAAAACATAGAAAACATGCCTGAGCATCTTCTGTCATTGAATCAGCCTCATCTAGAACAATAATCTTGAATGGTGGACAAAGATAACCACTGAAATATAAAAACACCATAACAAAGTGGAAATCATACAGAACTTACACGCGGAGAAAGGAGGAGGAAAGAATCTTAAGAGAATTAGATTTCACATACTTCTTACGCTTAACAGTACCAACAGCCACAGCAGCAAAATCTTTTATCTTTGTACGAACAACATTAATCCCTCTATCATCACTTGCATTCAGCTCCAGCACCCTAGACTTATAGAGCTCAGGCCTGCAATATATAGTTGTTACAAATTACATTACACGTGCCATTGTACCCATTAGCACAACAGGTTAGCTTAAGGAAGAAAATGGCATCATTTTTTACTGCCTATGAATCCCAACTCATAAAACAAACAAAATTGACATTTTGATAAATTCAATCTTCAAAAATGGTCCTCTATAGCATTACAGTACTCTTTCATTTCTAATAGTTGATAAAAAAATATTCCTGGTAAATTTATTACCATAAGTTGCTACTAAAGTGATGCACAATTTGCATAGTCTGTGGATCTCCATGACTCAACATGTCAAGAATTCAAAAGTAGTGTACACAACATATAACATTCAGAAACTGGGTCATATAACTTTTGTGAAAATATTTGAACTTAAGGTATTCCTTAAATCATATTTCATTTCCTTTTTTTCTCAGTCAATGATTTCATGGTGTAACTGAAAAAGCAAAGGTTTATAGAAATATTTTTAAGAGTGACAAAGCATATATTAAGAGAAAGTTTTAACAGAGAGTTCGTATCACCTTGGTTTCTACTATGTAAGTAGTCAATCTTGGATTCTTGATTAGTTATTATTTAGTAGATCTGTTTACTTTTATTTACAGAGAAAAAGTGACATGACAGAATTAAGGTCTCACAAGTCACACAACAGAATTAAGAAATTGACATGACAGCTAGAAATAAGTAAGCTCTCTTATAATTGTGAAAATAAAACCAAAGAGGGATACCCGAAAAGCTGACGGGCAATTGCAAGGGCAGTAGTTGTTTTTCCAGTGCCGGGAGGACCATAGAAGAGCATGTGGGGGCACTGCAATACATTATTGACTTGATTCAGTGAGGAAGAAGAGGAGGACATAAGGGAGAAGTAGGCGTTCAGAAAGGGTAATTACACATCCAGTTTCAAGTGTATTTGTTAGAACTCGAACAACTTCCTCTTGGTAGGCAACATCTTTCACTTGCCTTGGTCGGCTGGGTTACAGCATGCAAAATTAGATTTCTACAGAATAAGATATAGAAATAATTGAAAGAAAATTTATATTACTATTTCTCGACCCATTGCTGAGAGCTCTGCATGATTGGCACTGTCTATTTTCAGGCACTATTAAAAAGAAAAAATAAAAGTTTAGAAACAGCAAATATCAAGGCAATAACATATCAAGACAGTATCATATCAGACTATAAATAATACAAAATAACAATATAAATGGCTACTAGGAGGTTGCATATCACAATATAGGAAAATGAGGTGTTTTAATGCCAGATTCATAACAGTTACTATCTTCATCTGGTGCATAAGAACTTAAAACCAGGCCCAGTTGTGAAAACCTGCAGCTAAGCCTTCCAATAGGAAACTTAAGTTGTTTTGTAACAAAAATGGAAGCAATAGAATATGGATACATAAGATAGTGCATAATCGAATTTGTGACTTCTATTGCTTCTTAAAATATCTTACAAAATTTAGAGTGTATCTGATGAACTAAGAGGGCAATCATACAAGCAGCAAGTACAAACAGATAGAGTCTGAAGTTTAAACTATTTAAAGAAAAAAATGGCGCAAAGGGCAGTATGAAAGATGGACTGGAGAAAAATAGCCACAACAAAGTTTCATGACCTTGCATTGTACATCCTGAAATACATGTCCAA